TATTTCACACTCCCTGTAGTAGACTACTGAAATCTTTTAAATCAGTCCAAATTCCTCTCAGCGGCGGGAAGTTGGTGGAAGAATTTTAGAAATGCTCACAGGTAATGTTGCGCAGGTAAACACTCTACAATAGAGCATCGGGCAACTGGGTCAGACACTTTAACGGTGCCTCGTTAGATTTGTTGAATGTTTGAAATTAAGTCTAAAAATAATATGTGGAACGCTGATATTTCTTTGTCAAAATGTGCAATAAATACAGTACCGCATATTGTAGAAAAGGCCTGTTATTTGAGTATTTAAAAGAAACGACCATATTTCTCGTAATGTAGACTAAATCAACATTATTATGTCCCCAAATTTATAATCCCGATTATCCTGAGTTTGTTTATATTTGCCTCGAAGTAGGTTGCAGCGTGTGTTGCGAAACACGGCCACGCCTTAACGCACGTACCATTATTATTAATGTTTACTGCCCGTGTTTACCAATTTGATGGTTGTTTTAGTGTATTCGGTAATTAGAACTCGCACGAATTTGCACGATACACGAATATGCATGCTGGTACATGTGTTCGGTTTCTTGGAAGCAACGAAGATGTCGTTCGCCATAAAGACTTGTTAATTTTTCAAAGAAACTTCCACAGGCTACTGTAATACTTCTAGATTCCTCCTGCGTCGGTTTTTGCTGAGTCGAACTTATTGACGTTTCGCCAGTTTCAGTCAAGCTCTGAAGAAGCCAACAGGATAATTGGCGAAACGTCAGCAAGTTCGACTCAGCAAAAACCAAAGCAGGAGGAATGCAGAAGTAAAAAGTATGTCGTTCTTCTTAATTTCATTTTAAAAGCGCTAACGAAGGATTCGTTTACTTGATCTCACGTTGTTGCAGGGGTTTAAAATTTTCCAACTTATTAGTCTCTTCCTTTTCTAAAAGTATTTTCTTGTTGGGAAATTCAAAGTTTCTGTAATAACATTATTTTCGGTAGATTTTATGGGTATTTGAATTTTTTAATATATTGTATACATATATTAATAATTATAGGCATTAAATCGTCATCGACAAAACTACAAGTGGGATTCCCAATCATGAATACGTCACCTAATAATATACGATTGTTTTTTTAAATTATCGCGGAACGTCTGGTTTATTTTCGATCCATTTCCATAGTATAAAACAGATTTTACTCGAAAATGAATGAAAACGGAAGGCAAATAAACTAGAAAAATTCTAACATAATAGCCGGCTTTCCGTCATTTCTGTCGTCATTTTTACATCGGAAAACCGCTTTATAAAATTTTTGGAAATCATCTCAATTTTAACATTAAATTGAAATTCGCTTTGCCTTCTTGAACAATCCATTACAGCGAGAAGGGCTTTAGAATAGCATTCACCTCATTTTCTATGTTAGTTTTCAGTTTCTCAAGTTCTTTAGGCTTATTTAGAGATACCCTAGTTTTTAGAACATTCGAAGGAAGGAAATTGAGATATCGAGAGGTCTTCGTACTGTGAAAGTCTTGACAAGCTTCTCTTAAATAGCCATACACATTCTAAACCATATTCTCTAAGGTCGCTTTGTCTCAACTTTCTCAGTGAAGAAATATGGTCCGACAATCTTCAAATAGACAATTTCACTTAATTAAAATTCAATATTAATTACTTTTGAGGAAAAATATTAAAATATATCAAAACTCAATTACAGTAATTTGATTTTGTGCACCTAATTCTTGCGCTACAGCAATTTTATATAGGTGGAAGAGCTTCAGCATGATGTATAATGTATGATGCAGGTCTTTCGTTTATTTTTTTTTCCAAAACTGATCCGAGTTCTTGCAATTAAGACGCAATAATTTCACGTTTGGGCAATGGCGAATGTCAATATAGCGACGAAATTGTCATTGAACAATTACAACTGAAGTTGACTGAATAAATTTCAACACCTGTCGACACGTCACAAAATTTCCCTTGCATATTGTTATTTAATTTTATTGAAGTTAGTGAATAACTCATTTCGAATGTGTAATGCGCCAGGTATAAGAATAATCGGTAGCTTTCCTGGAAAAAGTATTCACACTCCAATTTTCTTCAAAACTCAGCGCGGTCGGCAACGAAAAAACGTCTATCGAAATATTATCGTAACCTCTTTTTTTCAATTGTGTATACACGTTCGGAAAATAATTTTCTTTTTTACGTCCGATTAAACACAAGTTTTTGGATGTTTAGCCATCACTTCTCATCTAAACAAATCGTTCGAGAACAATGTGTGGAATGCTAGAACTAACCTGCCAAGTGTTTATTTTGTAGTCAATTTGACTTGCAAATTTCATTTAAATTAAAGCGGCGGGCGGGCTTTTGATGAGTAGAGCAATCCGCGGGTCTGGGGTGTATCTGGATTAGATGTATACGCAGTACCAAGACTATTCGCTTTAGCAAAACGAGACGTATACGTCTGCAGTCTATAATGTATTTCCTTTCTTTGCAGTATTTGAAGTCAAATGTATTTTTAATTGAATCCGTAATATAATTTCTTATTGTATAAATGCTATGGAGACTAAGGCTTTAACAGCTTGTACGGGTCTAAAAACAAACAACTTTCTCAAATATCGTTCTGGTGCTGCAAAAAGTTTTATTTGTGCATTTGATTAAGCATTGTTGATATATTTCGAATAAGTAGACGCGTTTATTTTAACATCAAATACGGTTATTGTGTTGGATAATGGCTCGTATCATTCAGCCCAAATTAGGAAAATTCCAAATACTTCTTCAAATAATGAAGAAATCAAAGCATTTTTGTACGAAAATGATTTTTACTTTGAAGAGAGCTACACGAAAAAACAACTTCTGAAGTTATTAAAAATAAAACATTTTAATAAAAACTACAAAATCGATTCGATAGTACACCAAAACCCCGAGAACGATTCGTGGAGGAGTTAATCATTGAACTAGATGACTGATACTCTATTATTATTATATTTAATATTTTGTATATTAATAATGATATAGAACTTAATAAATTGTTACTTTGTACTAATATTTTTATGTACATGTGTCAAGAATTGCTCAGCGAAAAAGATTGAACGCACACTTATAGCCCGCTTGTTAGTAGTATAGGTAGATAAATTTCTAGGATGGTCCTGAAATGGTTACGGGTAAGGGTCTGTTCGGCAGGGTGTTCTATAAGGGGTTTGCAGTTTTGGAGAAATAAATAGTAGACAAAGTTAATCACGGGATCGGTTGTAAAAGCACTATATTTCTGGTGGAAGTATACCTGCTAGGCAATTATTACTGTTGAGTTTACTGTCTATCATTTCAACGGTAAGTTGCATTAAAGTCTGCGAAACACTCATTTCAAGTTCAGTTGTAGCAGTGTGGAATGTACAAAGATCCCTGTAGTCTGCAAAAGCGCTGAAAGAAGACCCCTGTATATCCTTACCGGGATTGTGAAAAAATATTAAAATCATTTGGATCAGGTCTCTTAAATATTTATTTAAATGAACATAAATCCGAAAGTATTTTAATCGATCGTCCACAAATCGGAGCGGAATGTTGCAAAACCTCTCTTAAATATTGCGTGTTAAATTATTAGGTCTGTATATATATTTCGCAAGACGAATTTGAGATGGGGCTAAGCAGGTTGAGAAACATGCGGAAGCAAAACATAGCGGCAATGGTATTTTGTGTTTCTTTTGAAATCGCCCAAACGACCACCGGGCCGCCATTAATGTAATAAAATGCCAACAGGTGTAATCAAAAATGATGTTACATTGCTGATTTTTTCGCATTATCGCATCACAGCGCAATAACAGAGAATTGTGAAACAACACAAAAGTACAGCGGGGCGATAAAAAAGATGTATTTTAAAAATAGAGTATGATTTATACGGTATGTGTACCTGGAGGCGGTTCAACAATTTGCGAATTCTGAAGCTTGTTTATGTACACGAGTTTGGCGTTTGAGTTCTTATTCACGAACCCATCAGTTCGAAATTCAACTTTGTTTTTTCGACGATTTAAACAAGTTTAATTATCAAACCGATTGAAGTTTAAATTCCGTTTGCTAGAGGTTCTTCTATTCCTTCCCAAGGCCGACAATACTGTTGCTAAAGAAAAGTTCAATTTGTTAGGGGAAAAAGCTGCTCTGGTTTTGAATTGATATCTCCAAGCTTATAATCTCTCATTATTTTCATATTAGAACCGTGCTAAAGTTAACCTCTATCTCAAAGGGACCACCTCAAAAACATTTGCATAATACCGATTCGGCTAATAGACCCACTAGCCTTTTAAGGGTTTAAATCCAATATTTATAGATTTTTCTACTGCCTTCTTTAAGAAACGCAATTATACATCGATCTAGCCCGCGGGAAATGTTATTTTAGCACGTCAATTTCGTTTCCTACAAGCCACGTCGGATATTTCCAAGGTATTACCGCTAGGGTTTCCTTAATTCCTCACGTGTTGGATAATGCACTATTCACCATTTGAAACAGATGCTTAGTTGCGGATCAATACTTGACAACAAGCGTCTATGGAACTCTATGAAATAAATAGGTTTCAGCTATGTCTTGTGGTTATCACGATGATTTTTTATGAACAAAATAAATATCAATCGAAGTAAGTGAAACATCACTTGTTCAACCACGTATATATTGAACATGGCGTGACCAATAGAAAGTGTTACGCTTACCTTTATATCGCCACGTATAGCTCTAAATTAGATGCGGGTTTCCCTGAAAACTGCCCGGGGGAAAATTTCCAAATTGTTTTAGACTGTGCGAAATTTGTTGAGAGTACGCTGAACCGCGAATGTTTTCGTCTCCGTCTCCCAGTTAAAGAAAAATTCATTTAATTAATGCCGACTCACGACCTCCGACGAGAAGAAAAACTATAGCCGTTTTTATGATTGATGACTGAACGTCTGGAAATTAAAAACGTCGCTTTGTTAGACGATAGAAGTGCAAACAATTTAAAAGGCTTTCCAGATGTTAAAAACGCTTTTTTTGTACTTGCAGATTTGCTCTACAAGCAAACCTTAACCGTGAAAAACACGTCGCTCGAGGTTGAGATCGTCGACGTGTGCAGCTGTGACCTTCAAGCTTTCCCAGAAGAAGCTATCCACTGGGCGGATGCAGCCCTCGTCGTGTACGACATAACCTGCAGGGAATCGTTTAAGCAAGCGTCGGAGATGCTTCAGAAAGTACTGGAAATAAGGAACCAGATGCCAACGGTACTGTTGGGAAACAAAGCCGATCTCGAACATCTGCGTCAGGTAATTTTTCCAACCCGTATATCACTTATCGATGCGCGATGATACTCAGCGTTGTTTATAGTGGTCGCAAGCCGCAAAAATTTGTCTCGAGATGAAATGCGTTCCTTAAAGCTTTCAGTCGGCTCGCGATTGGGTCTTTTTGCTTCGAATTTTACTTTTCGGCTGACGACGGTGTCGATATTCCGCACCCAGGATGTTTATCGCCCGAAGGTCGCTCGCTAATTTCGCTGCATCTATGCAGCAGCGTACCCGAAGGACGGGTATCTAAAATTTTATGAGTTTCACCTTAAGGCTAATTGGGAAACTAATAAAAGTTTTCCAAATATTACGGGTCAGTGTTAATATAATAATTCGAGTCGATTTGTTTTGGCTCCCGACAAAAAAGATTTATTTTTAGTCCACTATTTCGTCCGCCAGTTACCTATGTATATCCGGGAAAAACAAATAAACCGGCTGGGAAAACGCGAGAAAAACTGCGGGCGGTTTGTTTTTTTAATGGTTACATGAATGGATTTTTGTCATGTGATTGAATTTGTTGCTGAACTTGGGGGGTTTTATAGACGCCGGACCATCGTTTCGTTTATTTTATAACCCAGACGATAGGAGATAATGCGCACTTCTTTAAGGTGCTTGGTAAATTGCGGTAAACAGGGTATGCCTACGTAAGACTTATAAGTAGAGTTCGGATTTTTATGCACAGAAAATGCTTAAAATATGCGCAAATACATATATGCTTTTTTCTACCATCTATGTACTTTTACGCCCTTAAAAAACTAAAATTAGCTTTGATATATGTCACTGATCTATGAGTTCACATTTTTCATATAAATTTTTAGTTTTTTAATTGAATCAACTGAATCTGAAAAGTCTAATACAATGCTTTATTTGATTAACCACGTTCCCCATCGAGTAATTACAGGTTCAAAATGTTCAAGCTATTCTTGAAAATTTTGAGACTTCAATTTCAAAATGAAACATATTTTCTGTTAAAAAAAACTTGGCACAGATCCTTTTGAATAAGAACATCTCTTCCAATCTCAATCTCCTATTGAACCTCCTCAAAATCGGCATTGATGTAGTGTCTTGTCGTTTTACATACATTTCGTTACATTTTCGACTATGTGTTAATTTAGTAATAAAAATATCGCGAATAAGCACAAACTACAGGTTATAATCTGGTCCTTGTGTTCCATTATCATTCATGATCAATAGAATATATTTTCTCCTTGGCAGTAAAAATTTCAATATTTTTTTAACAGAGTTTTTTAAAGAATTATGCAAAGAAAAGAAAATTGTGTTAAAGAAATGTAACACACGCCCACTTCTGGCTATTTGCCCGCAACATTTATATTCTCAAAAATTCCAAAAGTGACCCTCGAAGAAATCTTAGTAATCCCGTTCTATAATTTAACAGAACTTGGGCAGGAGCTTCTTAGAGGCGTTCAGGCATTTTACCGTAGCAATGCAATTTACAGTCGGTCAAAAAAGTCTCCGTACAAATAGCATTTTTTGAGTTTTCTTTAAGTTTCTCCTTTAACTTACATTTCATGTGAAATTATATTTTAAGTGAATATCGGCAATCTCATTGAGAGTAATAAAAATTAAATAAAAATCACTTTATTTGAACGATAAAAAATAAGGCAGTACACTATTATTTCTTATGATAAATTGAAAAGTTTCCTAAAATCGAATATTTTGTACAATTGCCATTTGCTTTAATAATGACATTAAGTCTTTTTGGAAGACTTACAACAAGCTTTCTTGTAACTTCTGGCGACATGTTTCCCACTCTTCTCTTATCCTATTTTTGAGTTCTTCTTTACTCGTAACTTGGTGTTTTTTCACTCATCGCTTTAAATCTTCCTACAGGTGCTCCATGTGGTTAACAACCGGATATTGTGGTTTTGTATGGCGGACATTATGGATCATACAGTGACGTTATCTTGTTGGAATAAATAATACCCCTCATGGTTAGGTTTTTTAACACTTTGGTTTAAATTATTCTTTAGGATGTTCAAATAGCCATGCTGGTCCATGATTCCGTCAATAAAAGCCAAGATCCGGTGGATCTGTATTGATTTATTACATACGGTACAGTTGAATGTGATTTTTTAATTATTTTATCAATATATCTAAAGGATTTTTTCTCTTTCCATAATTCTACTATGATTTTTAGAAGCGCAATTGGAATTTCGCCATTTTTAGCGCTCATTTTGCTTTTAATTCAACACCACTGACTTGAAAGTGGCGTCAAAATAAACTCATTTGTTTAAGCGAAATTTGATACAAGCTGACTTGATAAAGCATAAGCATAAGTAGAGTTCGGATTTTTATGCACAGAAAATGCCTAAAATTTGCGCAAATATACGCTTTTTTCTACCATCTATGTACTTTTATGCCCTTTTCTTTATATTGTTTACTGAAAATCAAGGAAAGAGTAGTCAAACGACGAAAAAAATACAGTATATTTACAGTTTTTAAACATAAAAATAATAATACTTAATTAATAGTATTTATTGACGTTAGATAATAATAAATTAGTGAGTTATATCTATATACTTATACCTAACCTATATTAAAGATTTATGGTAAAAACTATTTAGTTTTACAATCAATGGTTCTACCTGCAGTTCTGAATAGTGATTTATTAAAGTGTATGGAGACGCATTTGACGTAGTTTCTTGCTTCTGCCTTGTTTTATATCGTTCAAATAATGTGTTTCAGGTGATTTTTTGGTTTTTATTACTCTTAATGACATTGCCGATATTTACTTCAAACATATTTCTTATTAAATGTAAGTGAAAGAAGAAAATAAAAAAAAACTACAAAAATACTGTATGTATGGAGACTTTTTTGACAGATTGTATATAAAGCGTACAAGTAATTTCAAAAATAAGATTTGGTAAGGAAGTTCTGGTATTGAGCACACCTTGTCTTTTAAATGCGACACTATGTATATAATTTTAATCTAAGCTTCTTCAAGTTCCCGCATACCTTTGAAATACAAATTAGTTCTCATTATTTTTAAATAAAAGAATTTTCTTTTCACTTTCACTTTTTCACTTCTTTCTGCTATTCGATAAAATTGAACGTTAGCGTCCGGAGATAAAATAATATCATATCTTAGTCATTGCGGCTGTACGATAAAATTGAACGTTGGGGGTCACACTTGCTCTATTTTCACTATTTTCATTCTAAATAATAAACTTTATATTTTCTCATGATTTTTTTTTTTCAATAGCAAAATAAACGGGAGTCTTCCCGATAAAAGCCGTCCCCTTAGTCCCCAGCTTTATAATATGCCAATAGTAAACTTTTGGGACCCAAAAGCGTCCTGGAGAATTTTTGAATGTCGACAAAAAAGTCTGTTGACATAAGCAATTAAAAAAAATTCCATGACCTAAAAAATTTCAGTACATTCAGTATCGTGCATAGATAATAACCAAGGGATTTTATACGAAACGTCTGGTCTGAAATGGAAGATGAACTTGGAAGATCAATTTCGTCTTACTTAGAAAGCTCTCTTAAATTATACTTTCTAAATCAGTTTTTCCGTAGATTCCAACCGAACTTTCACACGATATACTTAAGACGCAAATGGGGGTCGAGAACCTTTAGTCGCCTTTTCGCGCAGCGTTCATCCCCGCGTTTGCAAACAAATGCAAATTAAATTATGCCGGATAACCGACCGAATTTATTAGAAACATTTTTCACGCCTACAGAGCACTTCACCTCCCCCTTACGAAATAAACAAAAAAGGTCATACACCTTTCGCTAATTTAACGGACAAACCGGGCGTTCTTGGGTGTAAATTAATTAAATTTTTGCGTCTCGAACCTTCGTTACTTTGCACGTTTTATTTTGGCACCGCGTGACGCGGTGGGTGTGGATGAATTTTTTTTTTATAATGAAACCACCGAATGCTTAAGGAGAGGCGGTTGTTTTTCGCCCACCGTTATTAGGATTAGCCGGTCGTTGTGTTGAAATTTTGGATACATACATGTTTCCGTATCATTTAGCACGTTTTAATTTCTTTTAAGGAGCTTGCATTTTTTGTTTAATATTTTTAAAGAGCTCGTTAATCTGAAAAAATATATAAAAATATCGCCCTGAAATGAACAATATAATCAAATTTACAAAAAAAAAGGAGACTATGAAACAAAAACATTATTATATCAAACCGTCTTGACGTATTTTGTTAAATAACAGTTTTAATTACGTTTTACCTTAGTAACTAATTTTTACATTATCAAAAAATAGACGTTTTTAAAATTAATATAAATAAAATATATTTATCGGTTTTTTATGTGTTTTATCTATCAACCTGTTGGTTTTAAATATCTCCATAAGAAGTAATCCGGTAGATTTATATAATAATTTTATTATTCCACAAGTCCACCCAAATATTAAAGGACGCCCGCCCATGTTCTCTCACTTCTTGGTGTTGCCGCGAATTCTCTATGATAAAAGTAAATTAATGATAATGACATGAAACCGAAATTTATAACTTAATAATGTCAACTTGGAGGGCACAAAAAGTTGCACTGAGAAAGTGCAGCCAGGCCAGAAAAAATTCAAACGAAATCGCAGATTTTCGGTTTTTCACGGATATTTCCAAAACTAATGGCAATTTTCTCGGTTTTGAAACTGCTTTAAATTAAGCACCAAAATACACAAATTTGCTGCTATTTAACAGACCTCGCATCTCTTCCGGTTTCCGAGATTCTAATAGTTCCCCTCAAATTTGGGTCACCCTCCACTTCATCATTGTCTTGATCAGCTTTGCTGTCGTATTACTATTTTTTTTAGAGAGATGTCTGATGTTTGGCGAAACGTTTGCAAAACAGAGTCAATACCCGACACAGGAAAAATCTAACAGTGTACCTACTACTAGTCGCACTGTCGGAAATCTCCAGTAAACTCGATTTTGGCATATTTCCACGATTCTTTTAAATATGGATTTTGTAAAGGTGCAAATCTTTGTTGAAATACAGAGTAAAAAAAAGAACTGTCCCATCAGTCAGGCAAATTACCTGCACAAACTACTAGAGTGAATTCCTGGAATAACGTCAGTCGATGTAAAACCTATAAAATACTTACGGAACTAATAACCATGTAGAAATATTTTTTTAAAAGTTAAAGCTGAAAATGCAAGGAATTCTTTCACTGCCACCTACAAGTCGTGATTGTTCTACTCCTTCGCCCTATGTTCTGCCACCTATCCAGCTACATGCAAGTACCTTTTTCTCTATTATTTCTCACAAACAAGTTCTGCTCGATGATCTGCCACCTTGAAATCGAGCTTCAAGCAAATACCTTCTTTTTCTTCTTCTACTCTTTACAAACGTCACGATTATCCGTCAACTATTTCTTATTGGGTCACTAACCAACACTATGATTTCTTCCTTATTATACCATAGTACTACGGTTTCAACTTAGAACCGACGCTCAACAAATGACTTACTCAAAGCCAGGTTGCAAAATTTTAGTTTTCGCACAATATCAATCCGAACAACCCACACGCATACGCATATAGGTTTAAATTTGGGCATTAGGTCTGATATAACGATTCTATTTCTGTCGATTTCGCTTTTCTATTTGGGATTCCGATGGGGGAAGTTACGATGTTTCGCAGTTCGGACTTCGTATATAGACATAATAAAGAACAATGACCTTTTAATGGGGAACGTTTTATTATACGGCTTAAGACACCTTATAGCGAACTTTTCCGCTGTATCCATTAATCCGGCACCGGGAAATTTTCCATCGGAAAACGGGATTAACGGGAAGCGAGGGGCCCATTTTATATTATCGTAATTTTTTCATTAGACGGAGAACGTTTTCCCAAGTTTTGCGTTGCGTTAAACCCAAACTGCTTCCGTATAAATAGCGAGCGTTAGATGGTTCTATGGTATTTTCTAGGCTTTCGATTTTATTTGTTGTACTTTAAGAAAAGCTTTGTATTTCTGGTTATTTATCTATCGTCGTGAACGATTAGGCTAGGTTCGCAGGTGCTCATTGTACGATATAGCGTACGCCTTTGAAACGGTAGAAAATTTATGAGGATACGTAATCCATATTCTCGCACTTTGGTTGATATTATCTATTAAAACAAACTTACCTATCGGGAATTTCGCGAAAAAGAGATTTTGTTTAAGCAACTCGCGTTTTGTTGCATCTTCACTGAGTGTGGTCATAGCGATACTGAAATTTTTTCCGTAAAGCAAATGACGATTGATGAGTAGTTGCAAATATAATTAAAAATCGAATTAATTGTCTACAATATAAATACCAACTTTTTGGGACACTTATTTGATAATAAAAAAATATATATTTGACAATCCGTTTATTAAAATGCGTATTTCGTTGTTTTCAGGTCGAGGAAGTCGAAGGACGTACTGTCGGTATCCAGAACAATTGCCAGTTTTATGAAGTGTCGGTGGCTGAAAACTCACAAGAAATATACACAGCGTTTGACGCGATACTGAGCGAATGTCGCCAGTTTACTCAGAAAACCAGAAAGTTTTCCGTATCGAAGATGATCGGGAACCTTATAGGAAGCGGTAACGGCAAAGGGGTTCCCGAAAGCAAGCAAGGCGGTACCGTAGTGGTCTGTCACAAATCTGACCTCTACAAGTCAAGGGTTCTGAGGCGGAGGCAGAACTTCACGGCAACGGCGTCGTTATGACTATCCGTCAATGATTCAGATACGTGTTAACAATACTAAGATCGTCCTGGTGATGGGGATCCTTCAGTTTTATGGGGGATTTAGGAAGAAAGAAGTTTTGTAACGCGTGTTCACACACATTGACTTTTAGAAAGTCGAGCATGAGTGTGTTTGAACCCTTTTTTGTAATAAATTTGTACCTATGTGTATGTGTCCTACTGAATCATTGTTAAGAATTACGGATTTTCTTGGATTCGACGTTAGAGATTATAGTTCTTTGAGGTTCTCGAGTATACCTTTGCGAGCCCTGTATTACAACTGTCAAAATATTATTAGTGTGCTAAAATGGCTGTGATATTTTTTCTTATAAGTCTGTTATTAGTGACATAAATTATGTAATAAATGAGTTTATTAGAAAAGTGTTTTGGTTAGTTTTGGTTAGTTTTTTTTAACTTTTTGGATCCTGCCCTGCCAGAAAACTCATTCAGATTATGGGCTTACCATTGACTTATATATAATTTTTTGATCAATGTGGGCACATATCGTCCACCTAAGAAAAATCATGCAATTTGGCAAAACTTCTCCTTCTTCTTCTACTTCTTGAAGATCTGTGATGTGGATTGCCAACTATCTTTCCACCTTTTAGGTGGTCTCCCGAGAGGTCTTGGGCCGGGAGAGTTGTTTTCCAGGACTATTCTCGGAAGTCTGTTCTCGTCCATCCGTCTTACATGGTTAGACCACTGCCTCTTACGTTGTCTTCCCCAGCTCACAATATTTTATATCCGCACTGCTCTCTGACATCTGTGTTTCTTACTCTGTCTCTTCTTGTTTTACCCACTATTCTCAGTGTTTTCATCTCTGCTACCCTTAGCATTTGTTTCGTCTTGTGTCTTCGCGGACTTCCGTGCCGTACGTCATGATGGTTCTGATAGTTGTAGATTTTAATTTTGCTATCCTTGCGCATGTACGGATGGGACCAGACTATATCTCGTAGGCATATAATATCTGTAAAACGTCTCCCAATCGGACCCTATCAAATGAATTTGTTAGGTCAATGAAGCAGATATACGCTGGCATGTTGTACTCTGTGGCATTTTCTTTTATTTGTTTTATAATGAACATTGCGTCTGTTGTTGACCGTCCCTTTGTGAAGCCCTGTTGTTCTTCGGCATTCTTAATTTGTGCTTCCAGTTTGTCCTTGAGAATACTCGTGAAAAGTTTCATTACCGTATTCAAGAGAGTTATTCCTCTATAGTTTTCTGGGCAGGTTTTAACTCCTTTCTTGAATACAGGTATGGTGATGCTGTTATGCCATTCGTCTGGTGTTTCCGTTTTTATTTTTGTCAAATAGTTGCGCTAGTCTCCTTGCGAGTTCGGGGCCTCCATATTTTAAAAGCTCGTTGGGGATACCGTCCGGTCCGGGTGATTTTCTGTTTTTCAATTTCTTTAGTTTTGCGTCCCCCTCTTCAACAGTGATCGTACCACTTATATCTGTTTCGTATTCGTTTATATTCTGCATTTTCCCAGCATCGTAAAGCTATAATGCTGTTGCCATGTCTCTGTTGGTACTCCTTTGGTCTGCACGAGCTCGTTAACTTGTTTTTTCCTGTTCCGCAGCATCTTCCATACTTTCCTTTGGGCATCATACGGGTCGTGGTCCATCTCGCTAGTAAAATTGACCCAATTTTCTCTTTTGAGTGATCTTATTCTTGCGTTTACTCTGTTTCTTACTTGGCAAAACTGTATTTAAAAAAATATAAACCGAACTTACATATGTTTAGCATGAATGCACGTTGGACTTCGAAGTAACATATATGGTTTAAGTGTATTGTCAAAAAAAACTTTTTTCAAACAACCCATCGTAAAGTCCATTTGGTAATGGGGGTACGATTGACCCATATAGAATTTTTTTGTTACTAATAATGATCTAATAAATCCAAACATAACGAATAACAAAAATAAAAAAAAAATGGAAGTGAACGAAAGCTCTTCCTCTCCTAGGGAGTATGCAGCCAGAAGGAGGTGAACATTATAAGGTAGTGTTTATATATGGTGGTTATATATGGCCTACCTAAGAAACAAAAGTATAAACTGAACTTACATTCTTCGGACTTCCAAGTTTCACATTTGGTTTAAAAGTTCTGTGAAACAATACTTTTTTTCTTAAACAAAAATTCTTTCTATGACTCATAGAATAATACTACTACATGAAAATACCATCCAAAACAAATTAAAATAAATTCACAAGTCATACTTAGCGGATATTTAAAATTAAAAGAAAATATAACAAAAACAAACATTCATATGGGTAGTAATACTGTCCTACTTAGAAAAATGCTCAAAAAAATACAACAAATAAAGACAACTCTTTAGGAACACTTTGGACACTCAAAACCATCTTCATCAACTTCATCTGCGTGGTCGCGTGGTCTGATATATCGAACAATACCAGGATTCTACTGACTTGGAAACCGCTGGTTTAAATTTTTAATGTTTAATCCTCTGTGCAATGGGAATCACAGGAGTGGTGACGGATTTTCAACAATGCACAAACTGTAAATTTGCTGTAGATATTTTGAAGGTTCCAAATATCGATTTTGGGCATACGGTGTTTGATAAAGACTGTGCTTGTTACAGAAAAGAGCAAGAAAGGGTAAAATCTCGTATACATTATGTATAGCAATCAATGTTTAAAACCAATAGATCTACGAATATTTCTGCACCCTCTGGTCTGATTTTGCATATAAATATACAGGGCCTAGCATCACACATAGACGAGTTAACTGAAATAATGCAGGACAATCAACCTCTTGCTGTCTGTATAAGTGAGACGCATATCACGGAGGATATCGAGGAGCGTGAGTTTAATATTGATGGATATACTGCCATTGTTTCATTTTCCAACAGCAGACATACTGGTGGTAGCATACTATACAATAGAAATGGTATCAATTTCAAACTTTGCTTTAAAGACGCAGTGGACTACAGCTACTGGGCAGTTGCTGCGATAGTCCTCTTTGAGAGGGAGACGGTGTTAATAGGATCACTATATAGATGACCGAATGGATATGTCAAAGAGTTCTTAGATTATCTTGTAGAAAAATTAATTGACCAGAAACAAAGGACATATTTTTTGGGAGATTTAAATGTCGATTATTTGAAAAATAGTAATGACTCCAAAAAACTTCAGTCCGTTGTTAATTCGACTGGTTTTAAGCAAATAGTAACAAAGGAAACACGAGTTACCGTAAGTTCAGCTACACTAATCGATCAGATAATAACAAATGACTTCAACGTAGAGGAGGTCCCGAGAAACTTTCCTGTCATCAGTGACCACGAAACTATTGGCGTTCAAGTGAAAGTTCGAAGCAAGACACTAGTAAGTGAGGATGCTTATATCAGAAATCTGAGTTCTCAAAATATTAATCAAATACGGGAAGCACTTATTGGTCAAAATTGGAATTACACATCCACGGATGTTAACAAAATATATGTGGATTTTATAGGAATTGTACAGGGAGCGCTTGATAGGATATCTCCGCTCAGCAAGACCCAACCAAAAAAATATCCGTGGTTTTCATGTGCGATAGGACAGGCGCAATAAGTTAGGGACATTGCTTACAAAAAGTGTAAATACACCAAAAGTGAAGAAGACTGGGAAGAATATAAAAGAAAAAGAAATAACGTTATTTCAGTTATCAGAAATGAAAAACAAAGATACTATAACCAAAAAATTGATGATTGCACGGGAAATGGAAAGAAAATGTGGCAGATAATAAAAAGACTTGTTGGAAATAAAAATAATAAAGCATATTTTACCAATATTAATTTTGGACATTACAGTGACAAAGAAGAAGAAAACATGAATAACTTTTATGCCGATAGCTTAAATGAAATAGCGATATCGGAGCGTGAAAAAACTGTAAATAACCTAAAAAATAGAAGTACAAGTGACTCTGTTCTAAATATTAAGCTCGTCAAGGATTTATTTTGTGTAATAGGTTATCCGTTGTTATATTTGGTGAATGCGTCTTTAAGTGCCGGAAAAATCCCTAATAAACTAAAAACAAGCATTATAGTGCCCATACCTAAAGTGTCAAAACCGAAAACACCGGGTAGCTTTCGACCAATTAACTTGCTGCCAGTAGTGGATAAAATCCTGAAAACGATAGTGTGTGGGCAGTTGAGAGACTACTTGGAGCGGAACTGCCTACTCTACATTGGACAGTCTGGTTTCAGGAGCAAATACTCGTGCGAATCTGCGTTGCAATATATGTGTGCAGTGTGGCGGAAAGACATGAATAAATCAAAAGTAATTCTGAGTGTTTTTGTAGATTTTTAAAGTGCATTTGAGACTATTAACAGAGACATTCTCATTACAAAATTAGGTTTATATGGCATTAAAGACTTTGTACTAGAATGGATAAAGAACTTTTTATCTGATAGATCTCACAAGACTAAAATTAATAATAATGTTTCTAGTCATAGGGATAGCAGATGGGGGTACCGCAGGGAAGCGTGTTGGGGCCGCTTTTATTTATTATTTATATAAATGATATGTATCAGGTTTTAAAAAACTCTTTTGTTAACTTATTTGCTGATGAAACGCCAAACTGAACACCGAAATGCAGCATTTCTACGAATGGCTGTGTCAAAATAAACTGAAATTAAATAGCTCCAAAACCAAGTGCATGGTTATCGGTTCTAAGGTTAACTGTCAAAAATTTTATAAGTCTTGGTATTCTGTGGATATACAGGGTAATAAAATTGAGTTTGTTTCCTAAATTAAATATTTAGGGGTGATCTTAGATCCACAATTATGCTTTAGTAATTATGTTGAATATCTATGCAAAAAAATTTGTAAGAAAATAGGGTTTTTTAACCGTGTATTGCGGTTTTTATCGCATTGGACTAGGATATTAGTGTATAATAGTATAAATTTGCCCCATTTTTCATAAGTTTGTTCATTGCTTATATCTTGTACAAAAGAAGACTTAAATAAGTTTCAGTTACAACAAAATAGAGTTATGAGAATCATCCTGAACTGTGATACATATACTCCAATAAAGAGTATGTTAGAGTAGCTAAATTGGATAAATGTCGGGCAGTTCATTAGAAGAGCAAGTTTAATGTTGGTTTATGGAATAGCGCACGATCACCAACCAGGCTATCTTAAATTATGGTTGGAAAAAAGGTCAAACTTTTATCAATATAATATACGTTCCAATCAGCACTTCAATGTTTCTATGGTAAAAACAACAAAGTTACAGAAAACTCTATTCTACGATGGTGTTTGTAATTTTAATGAACTGCAGGATAATATGCCCAAGAGTGTTCAAGAAGAGACTTACGGGGTATTTGCGAAATTTATAGTTTTGTTTATGCAAATTTTACTTGCTTATGTAAATAGCCAAGTGCTAAATAAATAAATAAATAATAATAAATAAATAAAATTGTCTTGATGTGGAACGCCGGCAATCGGATAGACCATGTTAACCAAATGCAGCAAATTTCCTTACCGGTAGGTATCAAAAGAAATATGTAGAAAACTTGAAGTATTATTTTTAAAATGCATTAACAACTTTACATTTCACCATTTGGTTTAATTTTTAAAGATATTTATCCCTACATATTTTATAACTCAACGACAAAATGCACACAACCCTTGAGTTGGTATATACGCGCCATCACAACAACTTTTAGAAAGTTTAGGAGTTGCTATCTCCGGGCCATGTATTGTAATTCGGCGGGTCATATATACCTTCTCTTCCATAATCACTTATGTGCAATAATATAAACATTAAAACTTAGGTGAGCATGTCTATCTCAAATTAATTATGACCTTTATACCCAATGTTAATGAGTAAACCCAACCACCAATAATTTATTCATAGGTAAGGGACAAGGCAGGGGCAACTAGGTAAATGTCGAGTACGTGTCGGCTGATATCAGCGGCAGTTTTCAATAACCTGTTGTACCGTGCGGTTCGAAAAAGCTTCTTACAAATATGTCACTAATTCTTTAGTTTATATCGTCGTATTCTCTATTAGTACCTAATGTGATTTTATTATACCTAAATAATAAAACATAACCTTAGAAGTCCGTCTCTGTGCTACAATACCTATGCATTTTATTGTGATCCGCAGGTCATTTCGATAATTGCCATCAAAAATCAAAACGATATACTTTGCGACAGACCATAGTACTTTTCGTTTTCTGTCCAATGAATAACAAAAATGCGTTTGAAAATTGAAGGGACTAATGATCTCTATAAATATGTATAAGTATCCCTTATGACATATTTTGTTACAAAATACAAGGATTACAACCGGTGGCGTAGCTGGTAACCAAGGTCCCTGGGGCAAATTAAAAAATGGGGCCCCACTGTTATGTAAACTGATTAGGATTTATCAAATAAAAATATGAAATATACAAATGTCGAGAGTCGAGTTTGGACCACATTATTTCTTAAATAGTTTTTTATTATTTATTTTTAATTTACTAAACAACCTTTCAGTTGCTGCAGAAGTGACAGGAATTGTAAAGAATGATGACATTGCTGTAAATACTTCCGTTAGGTCGCATTCTAGCACTCCATATTTGCTCATTATTTCCTTACATAATTAGTGAACAGTCCATGCTTGAGTCAGTTGAGGTAAAACTAGGTGGTAAATATTAATAAATTGAAGTGAAAACTAGGGCCTGTTATATCTGAATATTTTTTTAGGAATTCGTCACACTTTTCTAATAAAGTTGCTTCATCAACATGTAATAAAAATGTTGTAAAATCGAATATATAACAGACTGCACTCGTACTAATAATACGTGTATCTAATTGTGGTATTACTGTGTCTAGTACATTATTGAAAAACTCAATTTTAAATATTTTTTTCTCGGTTTGGTAATCGGTGATCAGCAGCTAATTCATCAAAATGTTTTTTAAAGTTACTTTGCCTTTTTTCTTGAAAATGGGTATCAATACCATCTTTTCTTGAGGTTTCACTGGCTTTGCGCTTGAATAATTCGAAATCATTTCTATAAATTTGCAACTTTGCTTTGGTCTCTGCTAAAGCTTTAGTTGCCTCGCCCAAAATAATGCTTTGATAATATCAAAATAACGAAGTTTTATTGCAGATATCGTATTGACCTTACTGGTCCATCTAGTCGGATTTAGTTTTTTTAGAGTGATGACCGATTCGGCAGTGAATTTTGACAGTGGATCCCAACGTTTGATGCTGTTTGCGAAAAAGTTATACAAATCATGCAACGTTGCAAAAAAAATCTGTGTTTCCACACAGCTGCTAATTCTATGTACGTACTCTGTGTTAGGATGGATATGTTTTTGTACACCATTATACACACCACTCATCACACTGGCTCCATCATAACCTTACCTCACACATTTTTTTAAATCAATATTTTTTTCGATAAATAATTTTGTTAGTTGGTTGACTTCTATTTCTATATCAATTGGCTGTCCATTTTCCGATCTCGTTATTACTGCATATCTCACAACAATGCTTAGCTGATCCACCTTCAATATGTCCTGTGTCGTATCCATTATGATGGCAAAAAACGGTGAGGCTCTAATTTGTTCTAGTAGATGGATTCCAAGTTTGGTCCAAAAGCTTTCAATCATTTCATTTTAAAAAACATAAAAAAACACAGTTTCAAAAAAGTCGTGATATTAAACAGTTAATAATTATAAACAAAATAAAATGATAAAAAAAAACCTAGAAATAATAATTATTTGGGCATATCCAAAACTTATGATTATATTGGGCGACAAGCTTTACAAAGGACAGAAAATTTCCGTGATAACCTTCTTGACTTGTCTTCTTGATATCCTCTCAAAGTCAAAGAACTCTTTGTTAGGGTAAGTATGATATCGGATAACCTTTGAAGGACCATTTTCCAAAATTGCTTCTTTGCGAATTTCATTTTCAAGTTCCTTATCGTTAGTATTGGTATCGTTTTTTTTTCAAAATTCATACACAGCACATGCTTCCGAATGGCCACTCGAACAACCGTGTCGTTTAATTCTTTCTGATAAATGCTTCCAATCTCGAATTCCCGTACACCAAACATTATTCCCTTGTGAAGCAAATAACCAATAGTGTTGACAATAGGCAGCGTCTATTATTTTGGAAAAACGATTAACTGGCCCATATTTAGGACACGAAATGTAGTACGATTTTGAAAAACACCTATTGTTCTATTGTCTTGATGTCTGTTGGAAAAGGTTTTGAAGGCTGTAAAGGCCCCATATCAAGAATTTGACGTTTTTCATTATCACTTAATATTTTGTTTGTGCAATTTCCCAAGTCTTAAGATTTGTCGTGCACATTTTCGAAAAATGTAGAGGCCTGTGGTTCCTGCAAATCCTCCGCTGTTATGTGTGTCATGCAAACATCATCCACGTTCCGATGATCGGCGGCGGAGGTATCTCCAATGCAAAACTCCAACTGCAAAAATTGTCGAATCTTCTTCAGTAGGCTTCTCAACCAACACTGCAGTTACCACATTTTTGAGTCACTAACACTAGAAATATTTTGGTCAGATGTACTTGCAGAAGGCATTTAAATTAACCACTGGGTTTCTTCTTTTTATACATAATTTTAGTTTTCTAGCTTATTTAAACAATACAATATTAGATTGTGCTCGAGTAGGTAGATACTCATTATTCACTAGTATCTAAAATAAAAGGAAAGAGAAACACAATGATACGCTACAAGCGTGGTTGGGGAATCCCCGAAAAAAAATTATCACCTTTAGTATTACCACATTTAACGCGGACCTGAACGAATACACCTACTGTTTCGCGTTATACAATGAGCTGTAGCCGAAATCTACAGATTTCACACTGTTTATTGACTCAACGTACATCAAAGTGGTAAAATCAAATAAATTTGAACCACTATATTGACCAGTACAAAAAAGTTTATTGACATTAACTTACTTACTCCTGATACAGCATTAATTTTTTAACCGTTCTCAAAAAAAAAAAATCTTAACGCGAATTCACAATAAAACGCACATCGATGAATATTAATACACACGAATCACTATCCGTCAACACTGCCAACCTACAGAAAGAATTTAGGGGAATTCCCTAGGCATAACTGTTGAATTTCTCTCAACTCAGTTCGATCGAAATTTGTGGTAAGGATTCGAGGGTGCTGGAGCACTGCCCCGCCTAGCCCCTAGGTAGCTACGCCACTGCTTACAACATAAAGCTAATTAGCAAGAATCAGGATTGGCTCCGAAATGGAAAGAACAAAAATTTTTAGATTCTGCAATGATTTTTTGTACAACTAAATAATTTAAGGCAGTTCCCTATTTTGGGAATACTCACACCTGTCTGAGAGAACCCACTTCTTTATCAATATGATTTTTTAAATATAAAAGATCCACTGCCACAATAAAACACAAAGTAACACAACAAATACATTTTACTTAGATATAAAATATATAATCACTTGCATGACAATATCAACTAAAATAAATTAGAAAATGAAAACATATACATTGTACAAAATAAGCAAAATTTCAAAATTCACCTGACTCAACCAATATTTATGACTTGGATTTATTTGCGATGGCCATTCCTACTCCAACTATGGCACCCACTGCTACCAAAACGCCACCTGCCACTGCCATTCCAACCATTCCTTCCTTTTCCATCTTTTTCTTAATTGCCTGTTCTAAATTGATTACTTGCTGATTGCCTGAAACAAACAATATTGCACAACAATTTGGAGAACATTTTGAGTTCACCTGGCTCTATACTCAAAAAGGACCGAACATAATTTAGTGCTTTGGAATATTCTTTTGTTCTAGCCACACCAATCGCCAAGTAATACAGATAATCTCTCTGGCCATCTTCATTGTTCCTGTAGAGTTCTTCCAACAAAACAATTCCTTTTTGAATGTCACTTGGATATTTACTTCTAACTAGGCACCACGCATATTCGAATTGTGCCTTGGGAGTCACATCATTCCTATACAGCTGCTCGTGGTAAATTTTTTCGAACTTCTGGAAGAAAATGAAAATGAACAAAAGGGTATGATTTTCCAGGATTTCATTATAACCCATTCCTTTTGGGGTTAGGATACCATTTATACAATGAAAAATAAATATATTGAGGATGTCCATTTTTTTACCTTTAAATCTTCCGGAGCAACAGTTTCTGCTAAGATATCTGCCATAATTTATAGAAGCAACATTGCAAGTATTTAAACGTAATGTTCAATAAAGAAATGTCAGATCGTTTCTTATTGATAATTTTTAGATATGAGTCATTGCGTTCTGACATCTAGCGAGTTAACTTTAAAGCTCAAACAAGACACTATAAATGAATTTGAACTATCGAAATGCTTAATTCGGAAAACGGTCTCTAGGTGGCGCTCCTATTAACCGCATCTGAAAGCTGGCTTGCGTTTTTACAGAGAAAACGTACGTAAAACGTAAGAACTGTTATAACCATTCTTTTATTCTTTACATCGTTGGCATGAATTTGGGACACTCGCCCGTTGTCGATATCTGCCTAGGATTTAGTCAACTCTTAAATGTATATTTGATGGTTGGTAAAGTGTTCTTTAATGGGTAAATTCCGAAACATCCAGGTCCAATGGTAGCTGAGTTGGTTGTGGCTACTGACTAAAAGATGGCGGTTTCGCAAAAATTTAAATTTGGGGAATATTAAATAATGGGGTATCAAAAACATAATTAAATATTAGACATTTTAATAAATTAATAAATTGGCCATTGACTTGATGTTTCTCAATCATTAATTTTATTTTTCCTATCTGTTATTTAATATATCATCAGTCAAAACTTGTGCGAAAAAATACACCAATTCGAAGAGAAATTATTTTATTGTAAATAAGTATTATGCAAGATAAAATTATTATGTACAAAAACCTTAAATATATATGTACAGTTTTCAATGCACTTAACTTTACAAACAAAATGCCACACGTTCCAAACGACAAAATAATTTACCATGACTAGTTAACGATTTGTTTTAAAAGAGTAGGTACACAGCAATATGTATTTTCAAAAATAACCATTCTGTTTTCTCTCAAAATCAACATAAACGCAATACAAAATATTTCATACAGGTATTTCATCTCACAATATTCTGTTTCTTACTAGGGGCCGGTGCATACCTTTTTTGTCTATCTAAAAAAATTAAATAAATATACATTACTAGGTTTTGTATAATATATACAGTCATATATTATAGAAATATTGCATATCTTTTTATAGTACATCGATTTAAATATTTTCAAATGTCTCTGAAAATATAAAATCTAGAAATCTATAGCTGCATATTTGATGACTACATCGGCATAGCTCATTTGTACAATATTTTACAATAAATTAACAAAATATAAGCGGAAAACGAAGACAAATAGCCGAAACATAACGAACAACTTCTTAGATGTTTTAGAGAACTGATAATTAATATTGTACACATAAAAATCGAAATAAAGGCAAATCAACTAAACAAACAAGCAAATTTTTCGCCAAACGCGATCGCATGCAGTCATAAAATATCACATTTTCAACGTCCAAACTTTCATTTACATAACTTTTTATAGCCATCCCTGTTAAATGTACATGTCGCACTGCAGTTGGTGTTTTTCCGTAATGATATAGACAATGGCAAATAAATATGCTATACACAAAAAAATAACGACACGAACTACGCAATCCATTTATACACACTCGATTAATCTCTCATAAATTATAAAATTTGTGATCATGCCAGTGTACAATTTCTCTCAGCTAAAATGACTAACAATTCTTGTTTCAACATGGCGACGCACGATAAATTTTTCGACTTAATTTACCAAGTGCTCGTTCAAACTTTAAAGGGCGAATTTTTTATCAGTTTGAAAAAAAATGGAGGGGTTCCTTTTGATATACAGGTTGTAGGGAAAATGGGTTAAAATGGATTCTATTTTGACATTGTACGAGATTAAGAAAACTAAGAGTTTTGGGTGTTTGTAATATCTCCGAAAACATCCGATCGCTATCAAACCCGTGAGTAATATCTCGGAGATATCCGAATTGGCTCGCAGCCGCAGGTAACGTAACTGACTTCGTAAAATGACACTTTCCTCACCCTCGATCCGTGTATACTTGGACATTTTACAGAAGGAATTAGAAAAAATAAATGTATTTAGAAAACATGCATTTTTTAGGACTATAAAAGAGATCACGGGTTCGCAAAATACTGTTCATAACTGAACCAAATTACAATAACACATTTATATAAAACAAAAATGTTAAAAATGAAACAATAAAAAACAAAAATAAAAAATCTAAGGAAAGGAAAAAAATAAATAAATGTATATAAAGCAATACAAATTGTCTATTGCGACTGGTTTTCGACCTTGGTTAATTATATATGTAAAGAAAAATGAAAACTATTGACAAACAACAATTAAAGCTAAAATACGACCAAAAATAAACGACGTCTCTCAACAAGGATGATTCTCCGGCCCCTACGTGTTTTGATTAGTTTATATATATATATATATATATATATATATATATATATATATATATATATATATATATATATATATATATATATATATATATATATATATATATATATATATATATATATATATATATATATATATATATATATATATATATATATATATATATATATATATATTGTTTGTTTTTCCTATTATTTGATATAAGTGTGTTAATGTACAGTGGTTAAGTAATGACCATTAGTTTAAGTACATGTGATCTTATTTAGAGTCCTGAAAAGGGCAATAAAATTATCCAAAACTCAACCAAACAAGAAATTAATTTCCTATCAACCTAGCCCAAAAATTCATTATTTCTTTATTATCTAGAGACGCTGTTAAATGACTGTTTTTACTTATTAATAATTTTTCACATTTTCGTTAAAAAACTTTACAAAAATATAGGAAAATAATTACAACCAGTAATAGAATAGTAAAATAGTTTCCGACTAATTTCCTTTGCTTTTGTTGTTGATGCTAAAAGAGCACATACAAAGAACTTCTTTTCTAGTAGGAACGGAGGTAAAACATGATTTAAAAAACAATTCAGCATTAAGTGAGCCGTTCAGAGGAGGTATACATCATTTTTAGTATTTTGCATCTGATTGATATAATTTATTGAGTACATTGACTCGCAAATAAGTAGTATAAGTAAACTATTGATAAGTTTGAGGAATAGTGGAAAAAGCAAGTATGAAAAAGCCCTCCCAAGTCCGTTAATTCTGAATTTAGTATATTTTTCTCTTTACAGAATTACCTATTGCTCTAAGTTATGAGCACCCTGTATGTTAGGAACAATCCGTTTAGCCGCGTTTTGAAAAAGAGTTGTTAGTGCATCCTCCATATTTTTATTTCACAACGAATTCATGATACTCTTTTCCTCGCGGGGAACGTGCGGTATCACAGAATTCTCATGAGATAAAAAAAAACTAAAATTCGTTGCTCTCGCTCCACCTCTCCCTCTCTCTCACACGCACGTTCACGCAAATTCTTCAGAAAAAACAATATATATTTAGCGTCTAACTGTACAGTCTCTCTATTTCGTAAAAATCACATTGTTTGGAATGGATTCAATATCTTATTGCTCGACGAGTCGAATGGGCCTACGGCTGTCTTTATCCCACTCGCGGATACAGGTCGGCATGGCACTGCGGGAATCCGTTCCTGTTGCCCGTGTCGACGTTCAAGGTACGCATCGAATGCGCCCTACACGATTCCCCAGTGTGAATGTAAGTGAAGCCAGTCACGGGGAGCGTCCCCCCCAAGTTACGAGGAGTCCTAGCACGCCTACCCTCACCCTCTAGACAAAATACCCCAGAGGGCGGCGCGCTCAACTCTAGCTACAACTCCGTTACTGGTATTGGTTTGAGATGGTGCTGATTTGCGCGAACGAAATAGTCATCGTCGGAGAAGGTCTTCTGGTATTCGTGTTCCTTTCGGCTGATTGCGCGTTTGTTGAATTTGTAGTCCTTGAGCGCGTCGCGCACTTTAATTCGGTAACGAAAAAAAAAAAGTCCCAACACGGCGAGCAAAATGACGGCGCTCACGCAAAAAGTGACGACGATCACTTGCTGGCGCGGATCACCGAACGAGCATCCCAAATCGTCGGGCGTGAGCGTTTTCAGGGGCCGGTCCTTCAACTGCATCGGACTCATGCACTGGACATTCGTTAGGTTCTTCGTGTTGGCTAAATTCAGCAGCCACAACAGTTTGCAGTCGCAGTTGATAGGGTTGTCGGTGAGCTCCAACGCCCGCAGCTCGTTCCACGACGTGACCGATTCGGGAAGACTCCTGAACGAGTTCTCCCTCAACACTAGATGCCTCAAGTTCGGTAACCCGACCAAAGCGCCCTCGCCCAAGTTTTCCAATTTTTTATTGCTAACTAAAACGATCGTTTCTAAATTTAAGTTATCACCGAATACACCCTTCTCGATGTGCTCCAAGTTTTTAGCACCCGTTACATCTAGTTTCCTTAAATTAGTCAGTCCTTTAAACGAGCCTTTTTCCAAGGCGGTGAATTCGTTCTGGCCGATCGTCAGCTCTTCCAAGCGCGACAAATACGCCAGCTGAACGGTCGGAATTTGATGGAGCCTGTTGTCGGCGAGATTTAAATTTCGCAGTCCGCTTAGGCCCCTGAACGCGTGTTCGCTTATATTGGCCACCCCACCGCTACTCAAATCTAAAACGGCAAGTTTACCCAATCCCTTAAAGGCGTCGTCTGGGAGATAATAAAAAGCGTTCAGACCTATATGTAGTTCGGCTAAACTGCCCATGACTGAGAACGAGGGCGTCGGCACCGACGTTAACAAGTTATCGTCCAGATATAAAACCCTTAAACCTAGGAGACCGTCGAACGCGAGGGGATGTATTAAGGAAATTCTGTTCTGGCCCAAATTGAGTTCTTCGAGCTTCGGCAGTATGGAAAAAATACCCTGCGACAGCTCTTCCAAGAAGTTCTCGCGTAGGTTGAGCACGGTCAGCGACTTTAAACCCTGAAAGGTCTTGTTGTTGATCGACGACAGTTTGTTCTTATTCAAATGAAGCTCTTGGAGCTTCTCTTGGTGCAAGAAACTCTTGGTAGGGATGTTGACTAGGTGATTGCTCGACAAGTCGACGTACTGCAGGTCCCTGTAAAATTGGAACGCCGCGTCGACGGTTTTGATCTTGTTATTCCTCAGGACGAGCCTTTGAATGGCGGGATTCAGAGTTATAGGGATGACGTCCAGCTTGCTTCGTTCGCATTGGACGACGTAGGTGTCGTCGTTGCAGATACATCCCGTGGGACAACCGAGGACGCTTCCAGCCAAGATCGGCCCGGGCAGGGTCATCATCAGTAAGAACGGGAGCATTTTTTGAGCTGTCCGCTTCTGAAACCAATGAATAATTGCATCAGGCAAAAATTTGAGAAAAATCATTAGGTTAGTTTACAGATTTGTGGCAATGATTTCATCCTTTCACGTTCCGTTAAAAGAAAATGGCAATGCTGTAGCCAAAATACCGGGTTTTCAAAAAGTTTAACGTATGGGATATTTATTATACAGGTTGTTCCAAAAGTTCTAAACGTATCAATGTCGATTTTTTTTAAATCGCACTTTGTGTATATTTTAGAATTTTTGGATTCTACGCTCAAAACCAGTCTCCTAATGAATCTTATATAATTTGAAATTTGTAAAAATATAATTTACGTTAGTTGACAGATTGGTAGTAATAATCATTATTTCATGTATTGTTGGAAGAAAATATTGCGAGCCAAAAATACCGGGGTCTCAAAAAGTTTAACACATGAGATATGTGTGTGTATATCATATTATACAAGTTGTCTCAAAAGTGCTAAAAGTATCAAAGTTGTATTTTTGTAAATCGAACTTCGTGTATATTATAGAATTTTTGGATTCTAAGGTTAAAACTAGTGTCCCAATGAATCTGAAATAATTGGGATTTTGTCTAAATGTAATTTGTGTTAGTTGACAGATTTGTGGCAATGATTTCATTATTTCATATATTTTTGAAAGAAAATAGCAATATTGAAGCCAAAATACAGCGTTTTCAAAAAGTTTAAGGTATGGAATATGTGCAGATCTGTTATTGTTACTATCTGAAATTATTTCCTAATTATACAGGTTCTTCAAAAGGCGCTAAAAGAATCAAAGCTATATTTCTGTAAATGAAACGATGTGTGGATTCTAAGGTCAAAACAATATTTTGAATTTTGTCTATATGAAATGTAGTCTTAACTTTCCATTTGGTGTTTTATCTAAATAAAAGTTTTATTGCATCTATGTTAGATAATTTCACTAAGCTGTTAGTTTTATCTCATTTTGCTTTGATTATTTTATGCACTTGATGAAATTTCGAATATTATGTTGTGTGACGATTTATCCAAAGGAAGAGCTTATTGGTAAGATTTATCCATGGTGAACTTGGCTAAAATACAGGTTTATCGACAATTAATGTCACTTATTATTATTGTCATTATTCGTGTTTTGTCGTAATTAGTTAGTTTTTAAATATGCCGAAATCTTAGAAGGGATGAAAAAAAAAGTATCTCGTACTTTATCAAACGTCTAATTTTAAAGACCACTCTATAAAGGGACTATACAGCAAAACGAGACGAGAAATCAATAGATATAAAAAACGTAAATATCAGAGACAACTAAATGCAGATGGGAAAGCGCGAACATTAAGATACACGACATCTTAATACCATTCCATGGTTAATTAAAATGTACATTCCCTGGTAAGCTGAAAAAATGTGGCGTTACATCTAAACGAATCAATGTGTAGCCACTTCACCTTCTTATTGGATTAGAATAAATATTTGGACCCTGTATAAGTCGGGATTTTTTTTTAAATTGTGAGAAAAAATCAACTAATATTTTGACAAAATTTCAAATTATTTGAAAATAAAAGTTTAGGCATCATTGAAACTTATTCCGATCGTACAATCTAAAAACGAACATTAAACATCAAAATCCTGATAATATTGTTGTTCTTTGTGATTATTTTATTATTATTTATGAGCATTTTATTGCTTAAATTATGAATGGAATTATTCACTCATCTATACTAAATATCGACCAAATAATAATATTTCGTAAGCGGAAAACAAAGGAAGCAAGTAATCAAATGTATTAATTTGCCTCTATGGGAAACGTGGGCTATTAATTTGTTTGGTTACGTTAGTGGCAATTGTATATCGAACGGTCAGCGAATGTCTGCGATAACGAAACAACTCACACCTTTTGCCATAGGGCATCTTTATAAACGTTGGTGGCCCTACAAAAAGGTGAACAAACTTAAAACACCGTAACCGATCCGAAGACAATGCGTCTTATGTAGCCATAATCTTTAAAAAATGCCTCTCGAGTAAAACGATAATGAATTAGTCACAGTGACTGGCGTTCCACCATAAGAAACGCTAAACATTCGCTCTCGTACCTGACGTGCGAGATACAATCTTTGCCGTTGCGTTCGTGAAGAATAATGACGAAAAAAGCTTCGGGCTTGAATATAAATTTCACAAGAGTGGAGATTACTAAATTAAAGATCGGTCGCCGAGAATTGGCTCGCGGATCGGTCAAAGATGAGCAAGGAATTGAATATTAAAGAAAACCAATGAAAATCAGCATCAGTAATGGCATTGTTTTAAATAGGCAAGGAAGTATTCAATGGTAGGCAGTCAATTTCTCAAACTAACAGCCTTTTCCATCTAATTAAAAGCGATGCATGGTTGATGTCTATAAAGTTCAATAACAGAATACATAAGATTTTCTATTGGTGTTTATCAGCTACAAATAAATGCACACGTCCAAATACATGCGTTCTGAGGCACGAGAAAAACTCTATCTAGACGGAGAATTCGCAAATGCCAAGGCTACACTGGTACAACACACCTTAGAATTTAAGTTGATTTTGAGAGTTTCACCAATAAGGAACTAATTGACCTCATCGCTGAGAAACGGGAATGATTGGGATTTTAATATGGTTTGGTAAATGGTTAAAAACTTTAAACACCAAACAAAACGCAAAACTATGATACAGACATAGAGTATATGTTTAGCTTAGAACTTCAATTAATTATCAAGCCCGTGCTGTGCATTTTCTAGAATTTATTTAGGTTAGACAGTCTCGCTGAGAATTCATCGTATCATTTCTGCCAGTAATCAGCATCTATTTCAGTTCCCAACGAAACGATCTAATTCTTAAATGCGAAAAATTGTTACATTTGATTACGTTTTCTCGTTGTCCAGTGCGAGAAATGGGCAACGAAAATGAAACGGTGCACCACTGGAGACGATTCGTGACATTCCACCAGGATACGTTTCGTCTCGATCGTAACTGTTAGTAACAAAGAAACAATACCGTTCTGAATGTCATAGAAATGCTATCCAGCGACATTTCGCTTATTGGCAAATATCTAAAGCAATTTTTATCATTTGGAGAACCTTTCCGCGGTAATTGGCGACGGTACGGGTCCCGAAATGGGAAATGTCAAACGAAAAATGAAATTTGAGCGAAATGCACGAACAGGCCAATCAATAGTAATTTTTCTACGACAAAATACTACCAAGACCGAAAAGTAGTACGGTTTTTATTTGACCCACACGCAGCGGCCGTTTATAACTTTAACAATTGAAAGCGGTAAGAGCGATTTGAAATTTTTTTTTTTCATTATATATGTGCGAAATGAAAATTTTTGAAGCCATGTCAATGTTACCAGGAGCAAATTGTAAAGAATCAAAAATGAATGAAATTATTGTCAGTATTACTTTATTGTCCAAAAAATAAGAAAGAGATAAAACCTCCACCCACAAATATCAAATATCGACAATTGACAAAAAAGAAACACTCATGTACATAGACTCAAGAAATCAAGAAAAATTCAATATCACATATCATTATAATAAAAAATCGTCTTTATTACCATGTCAGCATTTTTGTTTTTTTTTTCAAATTAAGTAAAACAAAACTCGTTTACAAAATCTACCACTAATTCGTTAGTGAATTTAAGAGCTTTGTCATATTCCCCTTAAAGTTTTTTACACAAATGGGAAGGTACATTGGTTTTTAACGTTTGTACGAATATTTGCCGAAATCTTTCTGAACTTTCTAGAGTCTGAGTTAGCATATAATAATTAGTGACTCAGACAGTGATAATTTGTGTAAGTATTGACGTCGTGACTCCTAGGTAGTCATTTTTTAACTCCACATCCCATATAGCTACTAAAGCTGATAATTCAGAAACTTATGAAGCAACTATGAGAAAAATTTGAGAAGGCCTATTCAATATACGTATGCACAAGATTTATAATATCCAGATCGCATTAAATTTTCAGGCAAAAAGGAGTTACTTGTGTGGATGTCACTTAGAAGGAAAATTGTGCAAAGTGCAGGTTAGTGAGTGAGTGTAATAACCATCTTTACGACCTGCAGTGGAACCACTATATTATATAATTTAAGCTACATCCACATCTTTTTACAAAACTTCTGGATTCCTCCTGCGTCGGTTTTTGCTGAGTCGAAATTGCTGACGTTTCGCCAATCATCCTGTTGGCTTCTTCAGAGCTTGACTGAAAGTGGCTCGCATTTTACTCTGGACGCTAAGTAGGGGCATAAACATTGTCTCGGATGACTGATTCCTAAATTGGTGACAGGTAGAGACCTGAGTCGCGGTTAAGATTGTTAGCTTGCTTATAGATTTCTATAGATTCTCGGATTTTTCGTTGGTAGAAGAACTGATTACATGCAAGAATTTTAGTTTTATCAAATAAAATTTTATGTCCGGTTTCATGAGTGTGTTCTGCAACAGCTGATGTCTTAGTCGTAAGGCTGTTTCGTATTCTTTGAGCCTAGTTGATATTTTTCGTCTGGTCTCTCCAATGTATTCTTTGTCGCATATGCATGGAATTTTGTAAACTCCTGGCATCTCAAATGGAATTTTGTCTTTGACGGACCGCAGATGTTGAGAAATTTTTTTACAAGTGGTAAATCTGGTTTTGACGTTATACTTCTTTAGAACTTTTGATATGTGATCAGTGATGTTTTGAATGTAAGGAACGACCACAGTGGCAAGTGTAGGATTGCTTTCGGCCTCAATGCTATAGGCAGATTGTGGTGAAGTGTATTTTTGATGGAACGCTTAATATCTTTAATGTGGAAATTATTAGTGAGAAGAGCAGAGATAAGATGTTTCAATTCTGTTTTCAGTGACTCGGGCTGAGATAGTTTTACGGCTCTGTAAACAAGAGAGTTGATAACCGATGGTTCTTGGGCCGGATGGTGATGTGACCATGCATTAAGGTATCGGTCTGTGTGCACAGGTTTTCTGTAAACACAATGACCCAATGTTAGATCTGATTTTCTATTG